ACGTTTGACGTAATCAAAGCACGTAACTCCTATGTTGGATTCCGTAGATATCTCAGGTCTTAGGAGCTAACACGGGACCCGCCATATGAGATTCCAGTCATGACGCTAGTCCATGTGACAATCTCATGCGGGTCATTCCTGTATTCCGTTCTCCAACGAATACCTATGACTGTGATCGTATCTAATACCTATGATCATCTATATGATCATCAATCACATATCATACTAGTCTTATTATGTCATCATTCCCATAATGACACAAGACCAGGGAGTTTAATATCATTCATAATGATATATGGATTTCATAACACATCTAGTATACAAGAACATGTAATGAATCAAATACTCTCATAAAACCGTAGACAGTATCAATACATCAAATGTATCTGAATAAAGCTCATAAACAGTACATCATAGAGCACTAAACCAACACATGTAGCTCCTGAGTCTAGAAGCCAGACATCATAAAACTTTTGTTTGCCTTTAGTGATAGTTGTCACCTCATTGTACAATCTCTCTCTATTCGATCAGGTACTTGCAACATCTCCTTGAGAATTTGCTCCTTCGTTCTCATCAGGTGTCAACATTGCTTCTTAGTGTGGCCTTTCTTACCAAAGTGATAGCATTTGATTTTCTTTTTACTTCCTGATTTTTCAGCGTTCTGACTCCAACGGAAGCCATATTTCGTTGATTTTTCTCTCACCATTTCCAAGACTTTTGCTTGCTACGAGCTACCATCATGCCTTGTTTGTTTTGCGCCTACGTTCTTCTTCTTGAACAGTAGTTACAACATCATCAAAGACTAAATAGTCTGTGAGGATATTACTAGTGTTGACGAATCTGGAAGACTTTGGAGTAGGATTTCAGCACGTTCCTTCACATCTATTTTGTAGCCCATCTTTGAGAGTTTCGAAAATAGTGCGTTCAAAGCACTGATGTACTCTGTCATGGAAGTAGATTTCGTCATCCTTATGGTGTAAAAGCTTCTCTTCAAGAAAATCTAATTATGAAATGACTTTATCTCGTACAATTTCATTAGAGCATCCCAAATCTCCTTTGTAGTCTCCAACTCTTCTACGCCTTCCAAGATAAAATAGGCAAGACCTTGTTGTAGACTCGCAATGGCACTTTCGTTTATTTTGTTCCATTGCTCATCGCTCATCCCATTTGGTCTATCTCCGATAACTGCCAAACAATTTTCTTTCATCAAAACTATCCTCATTTTTATCTTCCATGTCAAAAAAAATATTCATATCAAACTTCTATCTCATACTTAGTTGCCATTTTGCAGTATCTATACAACAGTTTAATCCAATGGTTTTTCATGAACATCCATTTGAAAACCAGCACTCTGATACCACTATCAAGATCGGACGTGGATAACTCACTATTAGGCAACTAAACTGAGACAAGAAAATAAATAATGGGACACTGAGGATTTACGTGGTTCGACAGAGTGTCTACGTCAACGGGCAAATGGTAGAAGGATTTATATCGACTGTCAAGGAATTACAACACTTCTTTCTGTTATAAGGAGAATACAATAATAATTCTCTCTTATATAGGAGAAAATAAACATTCAAAAAAAAAAGAAAAAACCAAAAAAAAAAAAGAGAGACCCAAATTTATTTTTCACTCTCTTCCTTTCTTTCTTTTTTCTCTCTTTTTACTCTGATGTTTTGCTTCTACTTGGGATGGTTTTTGCCTTCGTGTTCATGCTCCTTATATAGGCAAAGGAATGAAGAAAATAACAAAATAAGTGGAGTCGATAGTTGTAAAAATTTTCTGTATTTGAGGCATCATCTTGCGGCACCGTCTTCTTCAGCCTCAACTTTTACCACTTTTTGACAGAAGTGGATTTTGCTCACTTTTCTTTCATATATAACACTAAAAGTTTTAGGTTTTTGTTTTCTTTTCTTTTTCTAATAGTCTGCCAATCTTAATTTCACCTAGACAACTTATGTCGATAACATATATTAACTAGTTAACTCTGTTGGTTATAATGCTCTAGGATAATCCATGATATGACATTTGACTTTGTATTGATTCATTGGTTTATTAATGCATTACTTTTCAATTATATGATTAGCATGTTTGTTATATTTCGGTATCCATGAGCCATTGCAAAATGATTCTAAACTCCCTGGTTAGTTATCATCGTGGGAACAATGATGAATTAAGACCAACATGAGGTGTGATTGATGATCATGGTAATGATCAGATGTATTGGATGCGAATCACAATCATGGGTACTCATTGGGAATGATTGACTAGATGACCTGCATGAGATTGTCACATGAACATGAGTCATGACTTGAATCTCATGTAACGATCGTTCTTAGATCCTTAGCCTGAGATGTCTAGAGTAACTGATATGAGGAATGATATGTCTTCACTGCGTCAAACGTTGTCTTTAATCGGATGATTATACGAGACTTCACGAATCATATGAGGAATGAAGTATCAAAAAGGAAGACTTGGATTCGGTCGAGCAAACAGTTGCTGGATTCAAATCAAGATGTCGAGAAAAACGGTTGCAGGCCTCTAACTCGGACCGAGTTAGTGTTAACTCAGACCGAGTCAGTTCCACTTGAGTCAACATGCGAGTCAAAGCCCAGAAAATGTTTTGTGCTGGGACTGATTTGTTCTGACTCGGACAGAGTCATGTCTTGACTCGGACCGAGTCAGTCTTGGTCGTAGGCTTAGGCTGATTCGTTCAGACTTGGACCGAGTCAACTCTTGGCAAAAATTTTCCTCCTTTGAGGTTTAGGGTTTCAAATTTAATAAAAAGGTTAGGGGATGCCGCCCTAACGAATATAGAGACTTTCTACACTCCTTGACATATCTAGAACACAAGAGAAACAGTTTCTTTTGAGATTCTAGTTCCCAAGATTTAATCCCAAGTCTTGAAAACCCTATTCACTTCACAGATCCTATCAAGTCAGTTCCAAAAAGACATTTGGAATCCTTCACGCCAGTGTGGATACGTATAGAGGAGTTGTAGCTTTAACTCTTGCACTACAAGAAAACACGAAAAGGGTGACGCAAAAAGTGACGCAAATTTTGCGTCACTAAAAGGGTGACGCAACGGTGACGATTTTGTGACGCAAAGAGTGACGCAACAAAAGCGTCACCTGAGCGTCACTAAATAGTGACGCTTTTGTGACGCAATTTACAGCGTCACCCAATGGTGACGAAATGATGACGCAAAATTGCGTCGCCAAATAACGCGCGGAAATATCGTCACCCTTTCGTCACCATTTGGTGACGCAATTGCGTCATTATATTATACTGACGCAATTTCGTCACAAAAACTTTTGTGACGAAATTGCGTCATTAATAGTGACGCAATTGCGTCACTTTTTTTTAATTTAGTGACGCATTTGCGTCACTATATTTCCTTTAATTTTGTGACGCAATTGCGTCACTATATTTCCTTTAAACCACGGAACCCATTCATACACTCTTGCACCCGAAAAAAACTCAAAAAATGGCATCGAGTAATAACAATATTTATTACTCAAGAAAATGGATGTACGAAAGAGTAAATCCTTCTACGGGTAATGTATCTACGCATTACGAAGAAGGATTGACTAATTTTTTGGAGTTTGCAACAAATCAACATATTTTTCTTCAGAGAGGAAAGATATATTGTCCGTGCCGAAGATGTAAAAACGAGAGGGAAGAAGTTCCAGAAGTTGTGATGAGACATCTATGGAAAAAAGGTTTTGTCTCTAACTATTACGTCTGGGTTTATCATGGTGAGACGTTTCAAATTTCTGATGAGAATATATCTGTGAGAAATACTGATGTCTATGATCAGCCAAATTCATATATTGAGATGGTTCAAGATGCATTTCCATCTCAATATAATGATCAGGTTACAGAAGATCCGATGAATGAGGCATCGAAAAAGTTTTTCGATCTATTAGAGGCTGCAAACCAACCTATTTATGATGGTTGTAAAGAAGGGCTTTCTCAACTATCGGCTTCTGCTAGATTGATGGGGATGAAGACGAGTTATAATCTTACAGAGAACTGCATGAATGAAGTTTGTCAGATGCTGAATGATTATCTTCCCCAAGGTAATAACGCTCCAGATTCGTATTACGATATGTCTAAACTGATGGGATCGTTGGGAATGGAATCGATAAAAATCGATGTATGTCCTAACAACTGTATGATATTTTGGAAAGAATCTAACCAGTTGGACAACTGTCGATTTTGTGGAGCTGAAAGATACAAGGCGAAAAAATCTGGTCAACGCAACCGTGTTCCTTACAAAAGGATGTTTTATCTACCGATCAAAGACCGTCTGCGAAGATTGTATGAATCTCATCAAACAGCTTCACATATGCGGTGGCATGCTGAACATACATCAGATCCTGAGAACATGAGTCATCCATCTGACGGTGATGCATGGAAGAATTTTAACGAGGTATATCCGAACTTTGCATCAGAACATAGAAATGTTTATCTATGTTTATGCACAGATGGGTTTGCACCGTATGGTCAATCGGGCAAACAATATTCGCTGTGGCCTATTGTTATATCTCCTTATAACTTACCTCCAGATATGTGTCTGAAAAAAAAGTTCTTGTTCTTGACGGTTTTGATTCCGGGATCGGAGCATCCGAAGAAAAGTTTTGACATTTTTCTTCAACCTTTGATCGAAGAATTACTTGAGTTGTGGCATTGTGGAATTGATGCATACGATGCCTCACAGAAAGAGAATTTCAGATTGAAGGTTGTTTTGATGTGGACTATAAG